AACGTTGGTAATTTTGTGTTGCTTTCTTATAAAAACATTTGACCTTGAACAACACAATTTGAATTGCCCACTTATATATATGCGGATTTTTTTTTTTTTTTTTTTTGAGACAGAATCTTGCTTTGTTGCCCAGGCTGGAGTGCAGTGGTACGATCTCGGCTCACTGCAGCCTCTGCCTCCCGGGTTCAAGCGATTCTCATGCCTCAGCTTCCTGAGGAGCTGGGATTCAGGCACACACCACTATACCGGCTAATTTCTGTGTTTTTAGTAAAGACGGGGTTTCACCATGTTGGCTGGGCTGGTCTCAAACTCCTGGTCTCAAGTGATCAGCCCGCCTTGGCCTCACAAAGTGGTAGGATTACAGCCACTGCACCTGGCTCATATGTGAATCTTTTTTTTTTTTTTAGACAGAGTCTCACTCTGTTGCCCAGGCTGGAGTGCAATGGCACGATCTTGGCTCACTGCAACCTCTACCTCCCGGGTTCAAGTGGTTCTCCTACCTCAACCTCCCGAGTAGCTGAGATTACAGCTGTATGCCACTACACCCAGTCAATTCTTGTATTTTTAGTAGAGATGGGGTTTCACCATATTGTCCAGGCTGGTCTCGAACTCCTGACCTTGTGATCCACCCGCCTTGGCCTCTCAAAGTGCTAGCATTACAGGCATGAGCCACCACATCTGGCCACGTGGATCTTTTTTAAACCAAACATGGATTAAAATACAGTATTTGCGGGATGAAAAAAAATCCACATATATGGAGGGCCAACTTTTCCTATACATAGTTACTATAGGGCTGACTGAAGGACTTGAGTATGCACGAATTTTGCTATTTGCAGGGGTCCTGGCAACAATCCCCCAAGTATACCAAGGAATCACTATACTTTTTTGTTTGTTTTGTTTTTGAGACAGAGTCTCGCTCTGACACCCAGGCTGGAGTGAGGTGGCACAATCCTGGCTCACTTCAACCTCCGCCTCCCGGTTCAAGTGATTCTTGTGCCTCAGCCTCCCAAGCAGCTGGAATTACAGGTGTGTGCCAACATGCCCAGCTAAGTTTTGTATTTTTAGTAGAGACAGGGTTTCATCATGTTGGCCAGGTTAGTCTCGAACTCCTGATCTCAGTGATCCACCTGCCTAGGCCTCCCAAAGTGCTAGGATTACAGGCATCAGCCACTCCGCCCAGCCAAGATGACTATACTGATTTTTTATTTGGTGAGTCAGTCCTGAAGTCTGATTCCCTTCCACAATTTCCAAGGAAACCTTTTCTTTACTTTTCTAAATGCTTCTGTCTCTGAGTCTTCCTTTGACTTATGTATTTCCTTTTATATACATAAGAAAGTATCTAGAAGGAAACACAAGAAACTGTAACAAAGGTGATGACTGTCACAGAATCCTTGGTCTGTTGCTTTTCCAGCAGAAAACCTCTGTGGCTGGTGGCACCTTTGCCCAAATTTTGGTTGGGCCTGGTAGGCTTGTTTCACTCACTTGGCCTGGCAGGCTATGCTAGGCTTGCATACTGGCCAGGATCCCACGCCTGCCAAGGGTGAGCCAGGCATGGAGCATTGAGGGGTGTGTGAGTAAGCGATCATGGGGTCTGGCCATTGTGCACAGCCAGGCATGCTGGCTGCAACAGAGCCAGAAGCTCCAGGCACCACCACAGGTGGCAGCTCCCTGTGAGGCTGCAGCTGAACCAGGCATACTGCAAGCAGCTTCCATGGCTGGCACCAGGGAATGTGGTGGTGCTCAGAAGCTTGGAGACACCAGAAACTGAAGAACCCCTGGTGTCACAGCCCTGGCTCAGGGAGCTCCTAGGTCTGGGCTTCCCAAAGGACCACAGCTCTTCTCTCTTCTCCCCTTTTTGTCACCCACAATGTGATGAGCAAGGGACATGTTTCAGCCCTGTTTGTGTTACAGCTCTTTCAGCCCCACCATTCCGCAGGTCCTGAGTTCTTGTTTTGCATCCAGGAAGAATGAGGTACACAGACAAGTGGAGGGTGAGTAAGGCAAAGAGACGCTTTACTGAGCAACAGAACAACTCAGAGGAGACTCACTGAGTAGTGGTAGCTCCTCTCTGCAGGCAGGTAGTCCTGACAAGTGTCCAGCTCTCAGGAGAGGGGAGACCCACAGTGGGTAGCTCCTCTCCACAGGCGGGACGTCCTGACGAGTGTTCAGCTCTCAGCAGAGAGGAGACTGACAGTGGGTAGCTTCTCTCCACAGGCAGGTCATCCCATCCTTTGCCTGAGTCTGGTTGAGTCCTGGGTTTTTATGGGCTTCAGAGGGGAGGAAGTGGATGCTGATTGATCCATGGGAGGCCATGGGTGGGGCCAGAAAAGTACCTTAAGTTCTCATCCCGGTCCATGGGAACTAGCAGCCTGGCCCCCAGACCTAAGGCAGTCCCTGGCCTGAAGGTGGGGTTTCACTGGGGACCTGCCCCTTTTCGCCCAGGAACCTGTCTGCCTCCTGCTGCCATCCACAGTGCCCTGGCTGTTCATGCTGAGGGGTGCCTGCAGGCCCATGCCAAGCTGCCCTCAGTGGCCCCTTGGACTTTCTCCCATGCTCATGGGTGCCCAAAGTCTGGAGGGGGATCAAGATGGCAGAGGGTTGGTTTGTCAGCACTGCCCTGAGTACATGCACACCTGGCCAGGTTGTGACAGCACCAGGCTCGGCCACAACTTTGCTCTGAAATTGGAGCAGGCACCAGGAGTAAGCAGAGGCCAGGCATCAGGAGCAGGCACTTCCAAGCCTGTGGGGGCAGGAGGGCTTCCCAGATTCCGAGAGTGCAGCGATGCCTGGGTATGCAGCTGTGGCTGGGCAGCTGCAGCTGCACATGGGAGGGAAGGGCTCCCACTTGTTCCCAGCTCCTGCCAGCTCCATGGAGCGTGTAGGCCCAGCCAGGACTCCCCCACTGCAGCCAGCATCATGGCAGGAGCTGCTCCAGACTGGCTACTGCTGCCATCACTACCAGGGTAATGAGATGGGGAGGAATTAGAAGGAAGAGACATGACTAGAGGGACACTTTCACTGCATAGATCTTCATTTTTAATTTTGACAGTAACTGATAATTACCTATTCATAAGTCAATAAATTTAAAATAAAATAAAGAGTATATGTGATATAAATTATTTTGTTTTCTGGACTTAAGAAGTCAGAAGATATCTGAATCAGAATTAGATACGTGTTTTATTTTGGCATGTAATTATTTTGACAGGTGACAAATGTATATAAATCAGAGTAATTCACAAAATGTTTTATCATCTGTCAGTACACTAAGTTTATCACAAAAACCCATATATCAGGCTCTCACCTCAGGACGGTTGAGTTCTCCTTCTTCTTCTTCATAGGGACCACCAACAATGAATGCATCAGGAATGTTATTAGCTCCTGGAGCCAGAATGTTGGCAATTGGCCACTTTTTGGGCCGGGGAACAGGTTCTCTTTCCCCTCCAAGCTTCAGAGTTCCATTCTTAAATAAAATGGGATAGTCCTTCTACAGAAATAAATACCATACGTCAGGAAAGTTTGTAAAGGACTTTGAAATGGACAAGAAGATTAATCAAGTCTTTTCAATGGAATGCTGAGTGTTGTCAAACATACCCCACTATGATTAATCTGATTCTAGAGAGCGGCCTGTGCCTTTCATTGTCTTTGCACTATTTTACAACTCTGTAACTTATAGACATTTGATAATAATGCAAATTATTCTGGTTCATAAATATGCAGATACAGTTTGTCCAGTAGCAATGTAACTGATTATTTCCCTGAAGCTAATGACAAGTTTTGAATTATCGGCAAATTCATTTCAGCATTCCTGATGCCTATATACTCCTTTGAACTCATTGTCACATTTTACTGATTCCCTCACTAATAAGTTAAATAAAATCTTGGACCAACTTTTGTGTTATTTATTTTATACGAGAGTTGTGTTTATACCTGTTTAAAAATTATCCTTTAGAAAACAAACTAAAATCTGGCAAGGGGCTAAAAATATAGGCATTTTCATGTCTTATAACTTATCCAAAGAATACTTGCAGTAGAAAATTGGTAAAATACGTAAGTAGGCAATCTATAGAAGGGGAAATTAGAACATCCAACATTTAAATAAAAACATGCTACATTTCATTAATAATCAGTAAAGTGCACATTAAAACAATGAGGTATCAGCCAGGCAAGGTGGCTTAATGCCTATAATCCCAACACTTTGGGAGATAGAGCCAGGAGGATCACTTGAAGCCAGGAGTTCGAAACCAGCCTGGGCAACATAGCGAGACCCCTACATCTACAAAAAAAAAATTAAAAATTAGCCAGATGCAATGGCATGCACCTGTAAACCCAACTACGTAGGAGGCTGAGGTGAGAGGATTGCTTGAGTCCAGAAGTTCAAGATTACTGTAATCTATGATTGTGCCACTGCACTCCAGCCTAGGTGATGGAGTGAGACCCTGTCTCTTATTAATAGATAGACAGAGAGATATATAGATAGACAAAGGACAGGAACAAGAAGTTTACTGGAAAAGAAAACCAAATGGCCCTTAAATTAAAAGAAAGTTCTATTTCCAACACTATAGCAAACTAAAGTACAACAGATCCTTTATCAGCAACAAACACACAACAAACTAGATAAAGTAGAACAGCAACAACAACAAAAAGTTATATTTTATCACATAGCCAAGGTCAAAAGAAGTAAATGAAAGTCTAGGCTGGGCACAGTGGCTCATGCCTATAATCCCAGCACTTTGGGAGGCCAAGGCGGGCGGATCACAAGGTCAGGAGTTTGAGACCAGGCTGGCCAATATGGTGAAACCTCGTCTCTACTAAAAATACAAAAATTAGCTGGGCGTGGTGGTGGGTGCCTCTAGTCCCAGCTACTCGGGAAGCTGAGGCCAGGAGAATCGCTTGAGCCCAGGAGGCAGAGGTTGCAGTGAGCCGAGATCATGCCACTGTACTCCAGCCTGGGCAACAGAGCGAGATTCCGTCTCAAAAAAAAAAAAAGAAAAGAAAGTCTAAAAGTGCCAGAACTGGCAGCAGCAGCAGCAACTCAATACCCAAGGTATAAGCTCATGAGCTGATGCTGTGCCAACCTAGGAAATGTCAGACCCAGATACTACTATACAGAAGCAAGCATGGCCCTGTGCCCAGGCAGGACAGGAAGCTGGAACTAAGGCTGCTGCATAAAACTAGGACCTGGGCGTGGTGGCTCATGCCTGTAATCCCAGCACTTTGGGAGGCTGAGGCATGCAGATGACCTGAGGTCAGGAGTTCGAGACCAGCGTGGCCAAGACGGTGAAACCCCGTCTCTACTAAAATACAAAAAATTAGCTGGGCATGGTAGCGGGCACCTGTAGTTCCAGCTACTCAGGAGGCTAAGTCAGCAGAATTGCTTGAACCCGGAAAGCAGAGGGTGGAGTGAGCCGAGATCATGCCACTGTACTCTACCCTGGGTGACAGAGCGAGACTCCATCTCCATCTCCAAAAACAAAGCAAAAAAAAAAATCTAGAACCTGGAAGGGCAACCTTTCATCAAATATCAGAATAAAGGAGCCGTTTTCAAGTTTAAAATGATGCAAGAAACCTAAAAGAAAAAAATTTAACTATTAAAAAACTTTTGTATACCAAAGCAATGACCCAAATTAAAAATAAATAATAAACCAGAAATAAACATGATAAACTATAAATTGACAAACTTGAAAGAAAACATTATTTTTCTCTACATATGAATTTTTTTTTTGTTTTTTTTGAGACAGCATTTCACTCTTGTTGCCTAGGCTGGAGTGCAATCTTGGCACGATCTTGGCTCACTGCAACCTCTGCCTCCTGGGTTTAAGTGATTCTCCTGCCTCAGCCTCCCCAGTAGCTGGGATTACAGGCACCCACCACCATACCCGGCTAATTTTTTGTATTTTTAGCAGAGACAGGGTTTCACCATGTTGGCCAGGCTGGTCTCGAACTCCTAACCTCAGGTGATCTACCTGTCTCAGCCTCCCAAAGTGCTGGGATTAGAGGTGTGAGCCACCACACCCCAGCCAGAATTTAAAAAATCAGTAAGAAAAATACTGAGACCTCCAGAAGAAAAAAAAATAAAAGGTACTTTCAATTATCAAAATTAGCAAAAACAAAGAAAAAATTTTCAATACAATCCCAAAGTTGGAGAGAGGGCAATGCACAGATCTGCCTCATATAGCTATGTGAGTTGTTCCCTGGAAGGGTGATCAGCCATCTCATTTGCCTAGGACTGTCCCAGTTGTGGTACTGAAAGTCCCATATCCCAGGAACCTCCTAAGTCCTCAGCAAACTGAAGAGTTGCTACACAACTTTAGTGGGTCATTCACATACACGGCCCTGGAAATAAGACAAGTCAAAGTGTTAACTGAATAGAAGCCTTTTAGCAAGCAATTTAGAAATCTCCATCAAGAGCCTAAGAAACTCCATATCCAATCGTTCCTATACCTGGAAATGTGGCCTAAGAAAATAATCTGGAATTAAGAGAAAGTTTTGTTTAACAAAGCACATTGCACAAAATCTGCAAAATGTACACACAAAAATAATCTGTATAGAAATACACCAAAATTGGCCATTTTAAATGTCTTACATATTTTCTACCATACATTTATATAAATTATATTTAATGCACAATATATAATAAATATGTAAATCATAAACATTAAAATCTGTATGTAAAATAGAGATAAACTGTATTTTTCAAGCCTAAAATAAATCTCAGCTATTAGCAGTACAATGTTTTGAATGAAATCTTAGAGGTGAGGAAGAGATGACCATATCAGTACAGACATGTTTGAATCTCTATAAACATCTGGCAGTAGGGCTTTACCTCTCCAAGTGATGGAACTTGCAGACCGACCATGTAGTTCTGCCCAGGACCTGTTGGAATGAAGGATTCAGGCACAGAGTAAGCAGCCTCCAACGTGACCTTTAGTAGATTGCCCCCTGAGATCTGGGCTGTGGTCAGTAAAGGCTCTGCCACTAATACTTTAACTTCAAGACTGCACTGCTGTAAAAGAATAAAATCATGCAACATTTTGAAAATTGCCAGAGATCTTCCTTTTTTGCATTACCTCATTTGAATCTCATATTACTGTTCAAGATAAGAAGGTAAAGCTTAATTATATCCATAAGTTGAAATCATGTTCTCTAGGTCCCCTGAGTTGGAGATAGAGCCAAGAAGAGAATCTTATTCCTAAACTGTTCCCTTCCCACTCTACCATATTGAGGTAAAGTATATATATAAATACATATAAAACAGGAATTGTAAGAGTCTATTGAAATGTTGGCCAGGCATGGTGGCTCACTCCTGCAATCCCAGCACTTTGGGAGCTAAGGCAGGTGGATCACCTGAGATCAGGGGTTCAAGACCAGCCTGGCCAACACAGTGAAAACCCATCTCTACTAAAAATACCAAAATTAGCCAGGCATGGTGGTGCACGCTTGTAGTCCCAGCTGCTGGGGAGGCTGAGGCAAGAGAATTGCTTGAACCCAGGGAGGCAGTGAGCTGAGATCGTGCCATTGCACTCTAGCCTGGTCAACAAGAGTAAAACTCCATCTCAAAAAAAAAAAAAAGGTCGACAGAAGTTGCACATGAGTAAGTGAGATTGGGTGCTTTTTTGCTAGTCTATATTTTATTATTATTATTGTAATTTTTAAATTAAATTAAATTAAATTTGAGACAGAGTCTCGCTCTGTTGTCCAGGCTGGAATACAGTGGCACGATTTCGGCTCACTGCAACCCTGCCTCCTGGGTTCAGGTGATTCTTCTGCCTCAGCCTCCTGAGCAGCTGGGAGTACAGGCGCACACCACCACGCTCAGCTAATCTTTGTATTTTTAGTAGAGACGGGGTTTCAACATATTGGCCAGGCTGGTCTTGAACTCCTGACCTCGTAATTCGCCCGCCTTGGCCTCCCAAAGTCCTGGGATTACAGGCATGAACCACCGCACCCGGCCTATTTTTGTAATTTAAATGTAATGCTTTGTAATAAGAAAATATTTTTTTCTGATAGATATGTATATATTCCACATAAATAGGTATAGACATATATGTGTATACCTCTGACATTTTCACTCAGGATACATACAAAGTAGGTTTTAAATGTGTATTGAGGCTGGGCAAGGTAGGCTCTCGCCTGTAATCCCAGCACTTTGGGAGGCCAGGGCAGGCATATTACCTGAGGTCAGCAGTTTGAGACCAGCCTGACCAACATGGTGAAACCCCATCTCTACTAAAAGAGAATATACATAAAAATTAATCGGGCAGAGTGGTGGGTGCCTGTAATCCCAGGTACTCGGTAGGCTGAGGCAGGAGAATCGCTTGAACCCAGGAAGTGGAGGTTGCAGTGAGCCGAGATCATACCATTGCACTCCAGGCTGGGCAACAAGAGCAAAACTCCATCTCAAAAAAAAAGAATGTGTATCGAATGCTAGGCACTCTGCTCCATCACTAGGGATATAAAGACAAAGAAGACATAGTTCCTTTCAACATAGAACTCATGTCATAGTGCCAAGATTTATGCGAAATCTATACTAGAGACCTGTACAAAATGCTGCAGTCAAGGAAACCAAGGAGGGAGTGAATAATTATTTGGCTGGGTTGACATTTATAGGATAAATAGGCATTTACAACCTGGATTAGCAGAGGAAGGAAAGAAAAAACCATTCTGGATAAGAACAGTTTTTGTGGGCTGGTCCAAAGGTAGTGAGTTATTTCAACTGACTGTTCGCAGTCAGTTACAGATCAAATTCTTTGTTCTATTCTTTCCCGTGTCTCACTACTGCACTTGGCTGGTCTTAGGGGGCAAAAACAGTCTATGTAAAGAGGGATTGGAACAGTATGGTATCTTCCATTTAGGTATATGTAAGTAATTCAGGATTCTGGAACTTCAAGTATTAATATAAGGAAAGGAGTAATGAGAGATGAGGTTGAAGGGGGAGGCTTCCATTATAAAGGATGCTGTATCCCTGCTAAGCAATCTGGACCTTAACTTGTAAGCAGCGGGTGAATTCATGAACTACACAGTACTAAGTAGGGGAAGAGATAAGATCAGATTCACTTTCAAATCATTGTGCAAGCCATGGGGAGGTTGAACTGGAGGGAGGTAAAGGTAGGTACAAGGCTATTTGTAACTATCCAAGTGAGAGATAATAAGGCAATAAAGAGTAGGAATGAAGCCAAAAAGAAAACCTAAAGACACTTAGAAGATGGAAAAGGCAGAATTTGGTGAAAGGCAGATTTGAGGATTGGCTGTAGTTAGGGTCTGAGGGAACAGTCATAGATATAATTTAGGTTCTATGTTCCATGATTTCATGGACGGGTGATGCCACTAGTCAAAAAACTAAGATAAAAGGAAGAGTAGGTTTCAGGGAAGATACTGAGTTCCATTTTGGAATGTTGAGTTTTAGGTGCCTATGAGATAACATTATAGAGATATACAGTAGGTGCTTATAAAGTCTGATATTCTAGAATTCCAGAAAGGGGTCTGGGCTAGAACTGTTGGATTAGAAATTTTCAGTGAGAGGCATGCTCCCATGCCCTAAAGTATATGAGGTGCTTTCATATACTATTTGATCCATCAGGACATACATAGCTCAAGAGTTATTTCCATGGTTAAGCCTTCCTTGCCTCTACCCGTGGACAAAGTAACTGATACCTGCTCTATGCCCATGTGCCTCGCTTCACCATTTAACCACACTGGGTTGTAATCTATGATATGTATATTGTGGGCTTTTCAAAGTAGGACTCCGCCTTATTATCTTTGTCTCCCAGAATCTAACACTAAGTGTGCTGTGAGAAGAAAATGCCCAATGCATTACACTTAACTGAACTGAACCTTAATAGAAGACAGAATTGTTACACAGAATGGCAGGCTGAAATGTTGAGAGCTAAAACTCTGATTACCTTAGCACTTGATCTAGGAGTTTCTAAGGGTGAGCCTTGCACAGGGTGCAATGGAACTGTTGTTTGAAATGAACTCTGTCCTGCAAAAAGAAGCCCAAGTTGAGCCAAAGAAGAAAGGGTTAAGTTGGGATGACTGCAGGCAGAGATAAATGTGCCCACTTCACCCCTCAAATGCCTCAAATTCATTGAGGCTAATTTCTATATCTCTCTGGGGCTAAGTTTTTATGAGCTTTGCCATTTCTGCTTTTGGGCAAAGCACACATCTGACCTTCCAGTAAGGGAAGAAGGTCCACCACCGCCTGACCAAGAATTAAGGTCTTCTCTTCTTTCTGTTTCTTTTCCTTTGGTAAAACTTCAGTCACAGTTACTAGAAAAATCAAAACAAAGAAAATGAGACATTTAAAACATCCACCCGATAACCAAGGTGCAACACGCAAAGCATTGGCAAAGATATGTACGTTAAAAAAAATTAACTTGAAAGTAAAGAAGGCATCAACATCAGTGACTTCTGATGGAAAATACCGGACCACTTCAGAGACTTTTGAACATTTTGCCTGCAAGTTATAATAAGAAATAGGTTTTAGATCATAATCATGTACATGCATGTGTATAAAAGTAACTGAGGCTGGGCGCAGTGGCTCACGCCTGTAATCCCAGTACTTTGGGAGGCCGAGGAGGGCAGATCACCTGAGGTTGGGAGTTCGAGACCACCCTGACAAACACGGAGAAACCCCGTCTCTACTAAAAACACAAAATTAGCCAGGCATAGTGGCCCATGCCTGTAATCCCAGCTACTCGGGAGGCTGAGGCAGGAGAATCGCTTGAACCTGGGAGGCGGAGGTTGTGGTGAGCCGAGATCAAGCCATTGCACCCAGCCTGGGCAACAAGAGCGAAACTCCGTCTCAAAAAAAGAAAAGAAAAAAAAAGTAACTGACACATATGATTATATAACAAAGCTTCATATAATATTAATCTTTACTAGGTCAAAATCCTTAGTTATTTTCTATTCTATTTCATATAGAAGAAATTACTGGTCATAATGCCCATCAATTGATCTTACGAATGGCTAAAAAGTCACAATTTGAAGTTTGAAAAACACTGCTCTAGGGTGGGCGAGGTGGCTCAAGCCTGTAATCCCAGCACTTTGGGAGGCCAAGGCAGGCGGATCACGAGGTCAGGAGATTGAGACCATCCTGGCTAATACGGTGAAACCCCGTCTCTACTAAAAATACAAAAACAAAATTAGCCAGGCATGGTGGCGGGCGCCTGTAGTCCCAGCTACTCAGGAGGCTGAGGTAGGAGAATGGCGTGAATCCGAGAGGCAGAGCTTGCAGTGAGCAGAGACTGGGCCACTGCACTCCAGCCTGGGCGACAGAGCGAGACTCTGTCTCAAAAAAAAAAGAAAAAGAAAAAAGAAAAAGGAAAACATTGCTCTAGATCCCCTATATTGCCTACCATAAGGCTTGACACATTTTGGAGTAATCCTGTAGCACGCAGAGTATGTACAAAGTTTTTCACTGCAGCATTACTCTGTGTGCTTAACACTTATTATAACAATTTCAAAATTTCAAATACACAAAGTAGAATAGTGTAACAACTATCCATATAACCATAATCTAAATTTAACAATTTTTTTGCTTCATCATATGTAGCTTTGTTTGCTCAAATACTTTTATCATATTTTCTTTGTTTGCTGAAGTACTTTTCAAATAAATTACAGACATCATGACATTTTACTCCTAAATACCAAAATACACAAATCCCAAGTAAGATATTTTCCTAGAAAACCACAATCACTTTACCACATTTGGCAAGTGTGTGATAATAGCATTAAATAATTCCTTAATTCATCTAGTGTCCAGTTGATATTTAACATTTCCCAATTATCCCCAAATTTATTTTATAGCTGGTCTGTTCAAACCAGAATCCACTCAAAGACCACGTGTTGCATTTGGTTGTCATGTTTCTTTTCATTTAGACCAGTCCCCCCTTTCCACATACTTCTTCTCTCAAACATTTCTCTCTTTTGTTGAAGACACCAGGCCAATAGTTATACAGAATGTTACACGTTCTAGATTTGTCTCGTTTTATTCCTCATAGCATTTAATTTGTTTCTCATTTCCTGTGTTTCCTACTTGGGTTCAGTTTCAGCGTTTTCAGCAAGGATAATAGAGTTTGATAACATATTTACCTATGTGGTATGTTATCAAACTCTGTGACCTTTGTAACCTGACAGATGAAAATAGCATCTAAGCATAATTTTATTTTTTGTATTAGAATCAGGTTGAAATTTTTTCCATATATTTAAGGACCAGTTATAGTTTCTTTTCCATGAACTTTTCATATTCCTTTCATATGTTTTATATACTTTTCCATTAGATTCTTGCTCTTATTAATATGCAAGAGCTCTTTAAAGGTAAATTTGCCTTCTGTCTAGAAATGAATTGCAAATTGTAATCCAGTTTGTAGCTTGTCTTTTACAGTTGCTAATGAATATATATATATATATTATTTTTCTGTGGTTTCTACAGTTGTGAAATACTTATAAAGGCTTCATCTCTCGATTATTTTAACTCCATGATTTCTTATGGTAGTTACACGATTTAATTTTTTACCCACATTTTATCCAGCTGGTATTTATTTTGGTAGTTTGTTTGTTTGTTTTTCAAGACCAGGCCTCACTTTGTCGCCTGGGCTGGAATGCAGTGGTGTGATCTCAGCTCACTGCAACCCCTACCTCAAGGGCTCAAGTGATCCTCCCACCTCAGCCTCTGGAGTAGCTAGGGCTACAAGTGCTCACCACCACACCCAGCTAATTTGTGTGTGTGTGTGTGTGTGTGTGTGTGTGTGTGTATATATATATATATATATTTTTTTTTTTTTTTTTCCTGAGATGGAGTCTCGCTGTGTCGCCCAGGCTGGAGTGTAGTGGCGCAGTCTCAGCTCACTGCAAGCTCCACCTCCTGGGTTCACGCCATTCTCCTGCCTCAGCCTCCCAAGTATCTGGGACTATACCCGGCTAACTTTTTGTATTTTTAGTTGAGACAGGGTTTCACCGTGTTAGCCAGGATGGTCTCGATCTCCTGACCTTGTGATCCGCCTGCCTTGGCCTTCCAAAGTGCTGGGATTACAGGTGTGTGTGAGCCACCACGCCCAGCCCCAAAGTGTTGGGATTACAGGCATGAGCCACTGCACCCAGCCACTGTTTTTTGTTTGTTTGAGACAGAGTCTCGCTCTGTCACTCAGGCTGGAGCGCAGTGGTATGATCTTGGCTCACTGCAACCTCCACCTCTCAGGTTAAGTGATTCTCCTGCCTCAGCCTCCTGAGTAGCTGGGACTACAGGCACGCTCCACCACCCCCAGCTAATGTTTGTATTTTGAGTAGAGATGGGGTTTCACCATGTTGACAGGCTGGTCTTGAACTCCTGACCTTGTGATCCACCCACCTCAGCCTCCCAAAGTGCTGGGATTACAGGCTTGAGCCACTGTGCCTGGCCCATTACATTTTTTTAATTCAATTGAGATCTTCCAGTTCTTGGAATGACTTATGGCTTTCAGGTGAAACCTGGACTTTTCCTGTTGTTATGAATCTCTGGATCTCACTTACACCTTCTGTTTTCAGCTGGCGTTTTCCAACACCACCCCAACAGAAGAAGGAAGGAGATGTTGCCTCATTACTGCCAAGTTGGGGGTGGAAGTCTAGGTTCCCTACTCAGCCTCCGCTGACACCTGATGTGGACAGTTCCTCATTACTGTTGAGCAGGGGAATTGGAGTCCTGATTCCTTACTTGGTTTCCACTGATACCACAGTGGGTGTGGACTCATTACACCTGGGTGATGGTGAAAGCTCTGACTCTAAACTAGGCCTCCTCTGATACCACTCCAGTGGGAAGCAAAAGGGCACCTTGTTACTGACAGTTTGGGAGAGAAGTGCAAGATTCCTGTGGTCTCCACTAACATTATGAGGGGTGGGAAGGGGAATCATTACCAGAGGGGATAAAAGTCCTGGTTCCCTACTTGGTCTTCTCTGACATCACTAGGGTAATGGAGAATCTCATTTTTGAGCTTTGTGAGAGTGGAAGTCTAAGCTCTCCACTCAGCTTGATTGAGGGTGGGGGCTACAGTTTTTTTTCCTATGGTTTTTAGCTGGAGTAAGGAATTACTCTCTAAAACTTTTCTGTCTTATTAGGCTGCCCCTTTCATAGTCTTTTGGCTAAACAGAGCAGACTTTTATCAGGCTTGCTTTCTTTTTTCTTTTTTTGGTCTGTGCCCATTGGTGTCTCCAGGTTGCCACCTTCTTCAGCAAGAAGTATGGGATATATAAGGCAAAAAGAAAACCCAAGGAACTCACCACTGTGTCATTCCCCAGGTCCCAAGTTTCCTTCTCTCCACCTTTCAGAGTCTCTTATTTTTATATATAATGTCCAGGGTTTGTAGTTGTATTCAGTGGGAGGAATAGAGAAAAGTACATCTATTCCATCTTCTCAAAAGTTTTGCTTTTAATCCTTTTTATTTCTAATTAATGCACTTAAGATTATAAATGTACCTCTAAGTACAACTTTAACTATATCCCACGAATTCTGATATTTGGTGTTTTACTGTTGATCTCTTCCAAATGCTTTGCAATTTTTATTATGACTTTTTTATTTGTCCCATAAATTATTCATAAGTATGTTTTTAAATTTCCAAATAGTATTTTGGCTATCTTTTTGTTATTGATTTCTAATTTTGTTGATTGTTACATTTTGGCAGAAAAGGTGTCTGTATGCTATTGATCCTTTGATCTATGGTAGGACTTGCTTTATCGCTTAGAATGTGGCCAACTGCTATCATAAAAATGCTCCTCCTGTGTTTTAAAAACACATATATTCTTTAATGGTTAGTACAAGCCTATGATTATTCCTAGGGAAGACTTTTTTCTCTACCCAGGATCTAGACAGAGATGCTTAAGCAGATTTTATTTTCCTGGTCCATACTTTTTGAGATCTTAACTTGTGATGGGGAGGTGATCTCAGTCTCTATTCCCCCATCAACAGCAGCCAAAGGTTTTTTGTCCTTCTGAGAGCATTAAAACCCAAGCCCCTAGGTTTTGGAGTACTGCCTTCTCTCTGCACACTTCCACTAACACATACACACCAACAGCAGCTGTTCAAGATTTCCAGGTAAGTGCCCTTTCTTTCTCATGATTTTAGTTACATGTTTAAAAGAATGTTTTGGTTCTACTTTTCCCATCTGACATGATAGGGAAGAAGGCAATCAGGACATTGATTTTTAGAACCACAAGGACTTACAGAACACAGGTTTGTGAGCGAGGTCATCTAAAGTGATTCCTCCTTCAGGTTTAAACTCAAAACTGCTAGTGAAGTTGTATTTTGCACTTCCTTCTGGAGAAACAGTAATTTTTGCAGAGTCTCCCAGAACCACTTGATTGAATTCTGCCCGAATAAAGGTAACTGGAGTATCTCCTTTAAAACCTTTCTGTTGGCAGAAACACACCACTTTACAATTATATTTAAATAGAGAATTTTCCTACACATCTGGCAACCCATTTTGATTTGGGCTAAATAGCATTTTTCATTTTTTCCTAACAAGCAACATCACAAATACAAAAGGAATAGGTAGAAAAATAATTAAACAAATCTAGTTTTACTTAAATGCAACATTCCATTTAAGTGCTGTTATGTTGGAGTTTTGAAAACAACATTTATTGTGTTTCACCTGATAATAGAAGTATACTGAGGAACATTTTTAAAAGAAAGAAAATTAATTACCTGCAATCTTACTGTAACATGTAAGCATTATTAACATTTTAGAATATATTTTCTAGTGTTTTGTTGTGAATATATGGATGTGCACGTGTATACCCATACACACACACAGATACATTTTTATATATGCATTTTAAAACAAAGTGGAGCTCATTAATTACATTCTCTTTGAAATGATCTTTTTAAACTTAATATACTGAATATTTTCCCATTTCATTATACTCCTAATTTTTAGTACATCACATTGTTGTTGTTGTTATCTTAATTAATCAAATAGAATTAATCACAAGGGAAACTCTGGAAGAATTCAGATCCTTCTCAGGAGAAAGGGAAAAAAATTATATGTGAACTGCTGTCTAGGGAAACTAAAACCACTGTTTCTTTCATCCTATTAAATTTAGTATTCAAATTGCCGAGTATTTGAGACACACAGTAATGTGACTTGGAGATCACAGACTAACAATAAGGAACACTGAGGCGGAATGTCACTGCTATATAAAGCCAGGAGGTTTGGAGGTAGAGAATGAAGCAAAATTCCATTACTCCTGCAGGTACTCCCAAACTAAGGATTTTGTAAATTTCCAAAAGTAACTTTACCAAATCATATCCCTCTGTCACAGTGATCTGCACGAGTCTGCCTGTTGATGGCACTTGCTCCATATCACCAACTGGGAAAAGTCCCTCTGGTTTTCTTTGGTCTCTGTAAACAGAATGAATCAACCTGTCCCCTCATGTACCAGAGCTGCAAAAGTACCCATATTCCATCATAACCAATACCAGGGAGAACCTAAGGAAATACCATAGTCCAGCACTGTTTTATTCCCCACATCCAACCTTTGCTGCTGGACAGGCAGTGCTTTAGGGAGCTGGTCACAAGGATGATTTCACTGGTTAGCGCTAAAAGATGTTTATACAGGTAACTAACCCATTAAGCACAAAGTCTCACAAGACAAAGTAGGAACACCTTGACCTCCCATACCCTACATCAGGGGTCCCCAGCCCGAGTCATGAACCAGTACCAGCCCGTGGCCTGTTAGGAACCGGGCCGCACAGCAGGAGGTAAGCAGCAGGCAAGCAAGCAAAGCTTCAATTCTATTTACAGCCATTCCACATCACCTGCATTACCACCTGAGCTCTGTGTCCCGTCAGATCAGTGGCGGCATTAGATTCTCACAGGAACGTGAACCCTATTATAACTGAGTACATGCAAAGGATCTAGAATCAAATGCCTGATTTGTCACTGTCTCCCATCACCCAGAGATAGAACTGTCTAGCTGCAGGAAAACAAGCAGGGCTCCCACTGATTCTACATTATGGTGAGTTGTATATTTCACGATATAGGCTGGGCGCAGTGGCTCATGCCTGTAATCCCAGCACTCTGGGAGGCGAGGCGGGCGGATCACGAATCAGGAGTTCGAGATCAGCCTGTCCAATATGGTGAAACCCCATCTCTACTAAAAAATACAAAAATTAGCCGGGTGTGGTGGCATGCGCCTGTAGTTCCAGCTACTTGGGAGGTTGAGGCAGGAGAATCACTTGAACCTGGGAGGTAGAGGTTGCAGCAAGCTGAGATCACACCACTGCACTCCAGCCTGGGCGACAGAGTGACTCCGTCTCAAAAAAAA